TCTGGAATGCTGACGTTATTTTTTTATCCATATAACTCAGGAAACAGCCGAAGACAGCATTCCAGGATGAAGGGCCTTTTCTCGGGCTGCCCTGTCCCAGGTGAAGGGTCCATGCGTGTGTGTGCACGTGCGTGCGTCTGTGTGTGCACTTGTGTGTGCGTGTGTGTGCGAGTGTGTGTTTGGGAGCAGGAGGAGCTCAGCCTCCCTCTATTCTAAACAGATAATGTCCCTGTCATGTGACCACGCAGGCGGCTTTGTCGCTCGCCCCGTCCCCCTCCTTTTTCGGGGGGCGGGAGGGGGTAGTGTTTGTTGTTGTTGCCCCTGCGAGCGAGATGAAAAGGCAGGACTGTGGCTTTAAAGGCGGAGGCGCGGACAATGCGGGCGGCAGTGAAAAGGCGGGCGCTGTGGAGAGGAGTTTAATCTAATTTGGTTGGAGGGTGTCCGTCGCGCTGTTGTTTTGGGGAGTGTGGGAAGCGAGGCCGGAGCAGTGGGGAGCCGGCTCTCCGAGAGGATCCAAAGCCGGGCCTTGAAGGGAGATTAGAGACGAGCGCTGATTTGCAATTCACACCGAGGCCCCCCGCGGAACCCTCGCTCGTATTTCAAACCCCTCGCCCAGCAAGTGCCTGAGCCTCAGCGGCCCAGTCGCCTTGGAGGGCCGCTCCCTCCACTCATCCATCCCTTCATCCCTTCCAGGATGCGGGTGCTCTGTTGCTGGTGTTGTTTCTCTAACCCCCCCACTCCCCCCGGCCCCGTCTGCCAGCTCCTGTTTTGAGCTGCAATGAAAACTTTGGTGCCTGTTGGATGGGCGGCGAGGGGCCTGGGGTCTCTGTGGCGGCCCCAGGGCCCAGGCCTGAGGCCCGAGGTGTTTTCCTGGGAGAGTGTGGGGCAGGGGAAAGGCTGCTTCCTGGGTCGGGAAGGAGAATTCTCCGTGCCTTTTTTGTTGTTGTTGTTTTGAATCTGATCATAAGTTTCTGCAGAAATGTTACACGAGATGACGACAGGGGCAACAGTGCCTGCCGGCCCCAGGCCCCGCTGTGGACTAGGAAGTAGATCCCGTTTCATAGGGATGACGTGAGAGATGAAGCAACGCCACCCTCACCCCCCCCCCCATCAGCAGACCCGGGGCTCCCCCGGAGCACAGTGTCAACCGAACCCCTTTCTGTCTGAAACGTCACCCACCGTCTGTGTCCTTCCCCAGCCTCCCGGGTCCTGCCACGGGCGAGCCACACGCGGAGTCCGAGGGGTTCACCTTTCTCTCTGTGGCCGGACGCGTCGGTAGGTCTTTATTTAAAGAGGTGACCTGGGCTTGCTCTCATCTCGGTTCAGAAAGCCTCCCTCAGGCGGCGGCGATTCTAACCAACCGCAGGGACGGCCGGCGACGTCCTGGGAAGAGCCACGCCTTGGGCTTCCCGCGATCTCCGTGTCCACGTAGCTCATACTTTTCACTCTGCTGGGATGGAAGGAACCTTGAGGCCACTCCTTCCATCCTCTTCCACCAAAAACAAACAAACAAACAGTTTAGCCCTCATTCAACGCCGTGCCCGACTCCTGAGAGCGTCCCTTTTCCAAACCCTTGTGCTTTGCTGAGAGAACAAGCCCAAGAACTTGAAGGTAGCACATGTGTAAGTGTCGAATTTTCCAAGAGAGAGATGTCTGTTTTAGGTGGTGGGGGGCAGAGGGTAGAACAAAAAGTACTCCTCGCCCCTGCCCGTTATTTGAAATCATGTTTCATTATCAAGTTTCTCGCTCAAAATGCGAGAGGCCTAATGAGATTTCCATTAATTTAGAGCCCTCGCTATTCCCACGGCAGCCCCCAAACGCGTCCTGGCCCCTCTTTCATCCGCGGTTAAATATGTAAATAAAACGTCTAAAGTCATTCTTCAAAGAAGACAAAAGAAGAAAGGGCTGAGGGGGGAGCCAGGCACAGAAGCCTCCGGATTCTCCATAACATTCGCCAGAGGGGGGCCGGCGGCCAGCCCGGCGAGCAGCAGGGGGCCGGCCGCCTCTCAGAGCCTCTCAGAGCCGCACGTCTCACACCCCACACACGGGAAAATAAACGAAAATAAAATATCTTTTCAGCTGGAGCCATCAAAAGGCCCCTTTCATTCCCGGGTTACGGAGAAGGCCGCCGGCACCGGCCGGCCGGGTTCCCCAGCCTTCGTTTCTCCCCAACGGCGTCGATTTGCGGGTCTCCGGCTCGGCTGGGCCGAGCGCACGGCACTTCTGCACACACCGTTTTTCTCTTTTTTTCCCTGAAAACCAGAGAAGAAAGCAGTCTGAAGTGGTTATCGCTAAAATAATGGGTCTGAACATGGCTGCATGGGAGCAACGCAGAGAGGGTCCATCGCTCACACCCCCTCCTGGTGTCGGGCCGGCTCCTTAACCCCTGCACATGGGTTTTTCCAATAGTTTCTGAGAAAACAGAAACAAAAAGGGAAATGGGGGAGGGGTGTCCAATGAAGGACCTTTGCAGGGAAAATTGTAGGAAAGCCAGCTGGTGTCCAGGGGACGCTTTTCCCCCACGGTTTTGAAAAGAACTCCCTGGACTCAAACACACAACAGAAAGGAAACGCAAGTGCGGACCCTCAGGCCGGGGCTGCCTTGCAGGACGTGCGGGTCTTCCCTCCAGGAGGCCCAGCGCGGGGACCTGGGCTGCACTGGGGAGCCTTTCCCCGCTTCCTCCTCAGCTCACCTTCCTCACACCTCCCACCACAGCCCACACCCAGGGACAAGGATGCAGGGCCAACCTGCCTGTTAGTTCTGGGATCTTGGGTAGGTCCCAGCCTCAGCCTCCTCCTAAGTGTAGGAAGGAAGGAAGGAAGGAAAGGAGGGAGAGAGGGAGGGAGGAAGGAAGGAAGGAAGGGAGGGAGGGAGGGAGGGAGGGAGGGAGGGAGGGAGGAAAAGTAGGTAGATGGAAGGGTGTCTGAATGAATGGAAGGACAGATAAATGAATGGGTGGATAGATGGATGGATGGACAATGGATAGATGGAAAAAAGGAAGGAAGGGCAGATGGAAGGATGGATGAATAGAAGGATGGATGATGGATGGGAGGGAGGAAGGAGGAAGGAGGAAGGGAGGGAAGGAGAGAGGGAGGAAGGGAGGGAGGAAGAATGAATGGATGGATAGAAGGGTGGATGATGGATGGATGGATAGAAGGATGGATGATGGATGGATGGATGATGAATGGTTGGATGGAAGGATGGATGATGGGTGGATGGATGGATGGATGATGGATGGATGATGGACAGATGATGGATGAATGGGTGGATGATGGATGGATGATAAATGGAAGGAAGGAAGGAAGGAAGGAAGGAAGGAAGGAAGGAAGGAAGGAAGGAAGGAAGGGTGTTTGAGTGGATGTGAGCTTCTTAAAGATGTAAAACCCTCTGACTCGTTTGAAATAAGAGCCAATGAATCCTGATCAGCCTTCTCAGCGGCAGCGCCCCCTTCGCCACAGCGGGCACAGCTTCCCAGAAGGAGGAGCGCCAGGCAGTGGCTTCTCCTTCGCGGGGAGGGGGCTCCTAGGGACACCTGGCCTCTCGGGGGCTCAGCCCGACCCCAGGGGGGTCTGCACACCTGTCCAGGCCGCCTGAGGGTGGAGGAGGGAGAGGCGGCCCAGGAGCACAGGGCCCGCTCCTCTGCCCTCCCTCCCACCCCTAAAGCCCCCCCCCCCCGCCCCCGCAGATGAGACCCGGAGTTTCAGAAGAAGCTGAGAGACCCCGGCCGCCAGGGCCCCTGAGAGGAGAGAGGCGCCCCTCCCCTCCCCTCCCCTCCCCGGGGCGCTGTTTCTTTAGGGGCCGATCACGGAGCGCGGGGTAGCCTTTGAAATGTCTTCGCAGGGGAGGCGGGTGGGCGCGCCCTGTGCGGGGCGGGGCGGGGCGGGGCGTCCCTAAGTGACTTTACCACCAACCGGGTGGCCCCGAGGCGAGGGGGTGGGCGACGGGCCTCCGTCCGGGACGCTCGCTCCACTTCCCGGGAGAAGCGCGTGGCGTGGGCGCCCCCCGGGGGGTTGAGGACCCGGGACCCCGCCGGCTCAGCCTCCTCCCGCCTCTCCCCCCCACCCTCCCCCGACCCCCGTCACCTGACGGGTCTGTAGCCCAGGAGGGTGCGGGCCGGACCATCACTCGCCTAATAACAAAAATCCCCGATGAGCGAACGGCTTCCGATCATAAATAAACTTCAGCCCGGGCCGGCGCGAGGCCCCTCAACGCCACGGCTTTGTTGGGGGGACGGCGGGATCCCCAGGATCCAAGCCAAGCCCCCACTTCCCGGGAATGGGGAGGGGGGACGTCGGCGTCCCGGGAGCGGGCCCGCCCCTCCCCCGCCCCCCTTCCGGGCGAAGACCCCGCGGGAGCGGCCCTAAAAGTCCGGATCCCGCCCCTCCCCCCGGCCCCGGCGCTTCGCTTTGAAATTTCAAAGGCCGGGCCTCCCGGAGCCGGGCGCGCGCAGGCCTGGCGACTCCCCGCCCCGGACGGCGCGGCGGCTTTACAAGCGAAAGGGCCACTTTATGGCCGCGGCTGTAAAACGCACATCCCGCCTCGCTTTGAAGGCGCCCCGGCCCGGGACCCCCCGGGAAAGCGGGGACGATGCGCCCAGCCCCCCGCCGCGGGCGCCCGCCCCCCGCTCCGGCCCGTCTCCCAGCTTCCCGCGACCTCGGCGCCCGTGGGGTCCTCCGGGAGATGGGGCGCAGGCCGCGAGACACGCAGGGCGCGGGGACAAGCCCGAGGGGTCCCCCCGGAAAGGGGGCGCACGCGGGCGGGAGGCGGAGGGAGAGCAAAGTTGGAGGCCGGCGGAGAGAGGGAGAAGGGGCGGCGGGCAGGACCGGCCGAGGCGCCAGGCGGGGAGTCCGGGCCGGGCGGGGGGCGAGACCGCGCTGCGCCCCGCGGGGCCCCGGAGCCGGCGAGGGGCCGCCCCGCTTTCTCATGCAAAGCAGCGGCGGGGGCGGGGCGCGCTCGGGGGCGGGGCCTGTCACCGCCCGGCTCTCCGCCTTCGCCTTTCCGCGCGTCTCCTCGCCCCGGGACGCAAAGCTCCCGACAGCTGCGGGCCGGGCCGGGCCGAGGCCGGCGCGGGTGGGGGGAGAGAAGCCCGGCGCGCTGGCCCGGCCACCGTGCGCCCCCGCCGCCCGCCGCCCGCTCCGGACGCGCCCCCCGCGCACTCCCCGAAGAGGCCAAAGTTTGCCGGCCGAGACCCGCCGCCCGCGCCGAGGGCTCCCGGGGCCCCCTCGCTTCCCGGTATTGTTCGCCGACTTCGCTCCCCGGCTCCGCGGCCCCATCTCGGCGGAGGCCCGGGCCGCCGGGCGCCGGGAGAGCAGGGCCAGGCTGGGCGGGCATGGGCGGGGGCCCGGGCCGGGACGCGGAGCCGGGGCCAGCAGCCCGAACCCGAACCCGGGCCCGGGAGCGGCGGCTCTGAGGGCCGCGGACCTCCCCGCCGCCGGGGCGCCTCCGACGCCGGCACCATGCCGCGGCGCCCGGGGCCCCGCCTGTGGCTGGCGCTGCAGGTGCTGGGGACGTGCGCCGCCATCAGCTCCCTGGACCTGGAGCGCCCGGGCGACGGCCAGTGCCAGCCCATCGAGATCCCCATGTGCCAGGACATCGGCTACAACATGACGCGCATGCCCAACCTGATGGGCCACGAGCAGCAGCGCGAGGCCGCCATCCAGCTGCACGAGTTCGCGCCGCTCGTGGAGTACGGCTGCCACGGGCACCTCCGCTTCTTCCTGTGCTCGCTGTACGCGCCCATGTGCACCGAGCAGGTCTCCGCCCCCATCCCCGCCTGCCGCGTCATGTGCGAGCAGGCCCGGCTCCGCTGCTCCCCGATCATGGAGCAGTTCCACTTCCAGTGGCCGGACTCGCTGGACTGCGGCAAACTCCCCAACAAGAACGACCCCAACTACCTGTGCATGGAGGCGCCCAGCAACGGCTCCGAGGAGCCGGCGGCGGCGCGCGGCGCGGGCCTGTTCCCGCCGCTGTTCCGGCCGCAGCCCCGGCCCCCCGCGGGCGCGCCGGAGCCCTCACTTCCCAAGGATGGGGGTCCGGGGGGTCCCGGGCGCGCCGGCTGCGCCAACCCCGGCAAGTTCCACCACGTGGGCCGCAGCGCCTCGTGCGCGCCGCTGTGCGCGCCCGGCGTGGACGTGTACTGGAGCCGCGAGGACAAGCGCTTCGCCGTGGTCTGGCTGGCCGTCTGGTCGGTCCTCTGCTTCCTGTCCAGCGCCTTCACCGTGCTCACCTTCCTCATCGACCCCGAGCGCTTCCGCTACCCGGAGCGCCCCATCATCTTCCTCTCCATGTGCTACTGCGTGTCCTCCCTCGGCTACATCATCCGCCTGTTCGCGGGCGCGGAGAGCATCGCGTGCGACCGGGACAGCGGGCAGCTGTACGTGATCCAGGAGGGGCTGGAGAGCACGGGCTGCACCCTGGTCTTCCTGGTGCTCTACTACTTCGGCATGGCCAGCTCGCTGTGGTGGGTCGTCCTGACGCTCACCTGGTTCCTGGCCGCGGGCAAGAAGTGGGGGCACGAGGCCATCGAGGCGCACAGCAGCTACTTCCACCTGGCGGCCTGGGCCATCCCCGCCGTCAAGACCATCCTGATCCTGGTGATGCGCCGCGTGGCGGGCGACGAGCTCACGGGCGTCTGCTACGTGGGCAGCATGGACGTGCACGCGCTCACGGGCTTCGTGCTCGTGCCCCTGGCCTGCTACCTGGTCCTGGGCACGTCGTTCCTGCTGTCCGGCTTCGTGGCGCTGTTCCACATCCGGCGGGTGATGAAGACGGGCGGGGAGAACACGGACAAGCTGGAGAAGCTGATGGTGCGCATCGGGGTGTTCTCCGTGCTCTACACCGTGCCCGCCGCCTGCGTCATCGCCTGCTACTGCTACGAGCGTTTGCACACCGAGCGCTGGCGGGCGCTGGCCGCGCAGCGCCGGTGCCGGCTGGACAGCCGGACCCAGAGCCTGGACTGCCTGCTGGCCGCCTCCATCCCCGCCGTGGAGATCTTCCTGCTGAAGATCTTCATGCTGCTGGTCGTGGGCATCACCAGCGGCGTGTGGATCTGGACCGCCAAGACGCTGCAGTCCTGGCGCTCCGTGTGCGGCCGCCGGTTCCGGGGGCGCGGCCGCAGGAAGCCCGCCAGCGCCGTCGCCCACCACGCGCCCGGCGGCGGCGGCGGGATTTACAAAAAAGCCCAGCACCCCCAAAAGGCGTACCCCGGCAAGTATGAGCTGCCCGCACAGCCGCCTGCCTGCGTGTGAACCGGCCAGAAAAACACAAAACAAAACAAAAACACACAAAAAAAGCCAAGAAACTTTCCCACGGGGAGACGGTGGCCGGCGGAGCCAAACTTGGTGCTTTTCTTGGTTGGCTGGTTGTTGGTTGGTTTGTTTTTTGTTTTTTAATAAAAGTTTAAAAAGTAATAATAATAAACCGGTATTTTGGGGGGCTTTGTTTTTTTAAATATGTTTTTATTGATTTCAGAGAGGAAGGGAGAGAGAAAGAAACATCCATGATGAGAGAGAGCCATGGATGGGCTGCCTCCTGCACGCCCCCTACTGGGGATGGAGCCCGAAACCCGGGCAGGTGCCCTTGACCGGGAATCGAACCGGGACCTCTGGGTTCCCAGGTCCACGCCCAACCACTGAGCCACACCAGCCGGGCTCATAAAGGTTTTCACCCTGAAATTCAGGACGGCCGGCTGCCCTGGGAGTCGAGGCTGGGGAGGGGGTTGGGTTTGTTTGCAGGGAAGGAGGGCTCCCCCGGGGGGCAGTCGCCTCTTTGTAACTAATTTGTGGTAAAGTAGTGGGTTCAGCCCCTCCCTCCTCCCCCACCCCACCCCGGAAGAAAACTTTTGTTTAGAAGCTTCGGTAAATATACATTGGAGCGTGTGTTTGCCTTGGCTTTGCTCGCCTTAGACAAACCCCAGCCGAGAGGACTTGTTTGCCAATGAGAAGGCCTGTCTGTGGTGGGCTGCAGAGAGCAAGGGGGAGAGGGAGTGGGGGGGCGGGGAGGGGCCCCCCAGGAGGGCAGCCACTTCAGCGCCCACAGGGAGAGAGGGGAAGCCTGAGGCCCAGCACGCCCGGTGGGTTGGGCATCTGCCCCCCACACACCATCTCTCTCCGGGACAGAAACTTCCACCAGACCTCACCTGGGCCGGGGCCACCGCGGGCCATTGGGACATTGTTTTCTCCTCCTCGTCCCCGAGCATCCGAAGAGGAACTGTGGATAAAGACCATGAAGAAGCCTCCCCACAAAGGGGCGAGGGGCCCAGGCCTCAGACGCCCTCCGCCCGGTGACATTTGTGGCTTTTTCATGGAAACGGAGCCTGCGTGAGCGGCTCCTCGCCCTGGTTTGTGGGAGGGAGGGGCGGGGGAGGGGGGCCATTCAAAGTCGCCCGAGGGCTGATTGACTCTCTATTGTGACCCAAATGGCTTCCCTGAGGGGCCTGGAGCCCTGGGCCCAGGGCGAGCTCACACCCCTCCCGCCCCTGCCCCCGCCCCCGCCCCCTCCCCACCGGGGGTCGGCGTGGGCCTGCTGGTGCCCGTGTGGCTAGATGATATGATATTTTCGTGCTCCTCTATTTTATTAAAAATAAACGATGTTCTTCCGCTTGCTGCTGGTCCCTGTGCGCTGAGAGGGAAGAGAGGAAACTTTCTCGCTCTGTCCAGTTCCCAGCGAAGGCTGAGTGTGGTCTCCGCTAGAGGTCACAGCTCATCCGTAGAGGTCACAGCTCATCCCTGCGACCTGGCAGATGGGCAGAGCCTGAGGGAGGGGCAGTGTCTTTTATTTTACTTTAATATGGATATTTTATATCGATTTCAGAGCAGGAGGGAGAGGGAGAGAGAGAAACATCCATGATGAGAGAGAACCATGGACCGGCTGCCTCCTGCACGCCCCACACTGGGGATGGAGCCCGCAACCTGGGCCTGGGCCTGTGCCCTGACCGGGATCGAACCGGGACCGAACCAGGACCGAACCGGGACCTCCTGGTTCCTAGGTCGACGCTCAACCCCTGAGCCACGCCGGCCGGGCTCTGAGCAGGGTGTTTAGGAATTAAGGCCGGTGCCTGAGACCACCCTCAGCCTAACAGCACCAGAGCTGGGCAGAGGGGCTGGGCGCCGCCTGTCGGGCCTGTGAATGAATGTCTGGCAGGGTGGGGGGAGCTTTGAGGGGGCAGCTGCTTGGGGTCCAGTTCCACAGGCAAAGTAATTTAAGGTCAAATGCAGACTAGCCTTCCATGAATTAAAAACGAACGAGAAAAGTGCATTTAAATACCTACAAGGGTCTTAGCCGGTGTGGCTCAGTGGACAGAGAGCGGGACTGTGGACCGAAGGGTCCCAGGTTCGATGCCGGTCCAGGGCGCATACCTCGGTCGCAGGCTCGACCCCCGGGCCTGGTCGGGCCGAGTGGGGGCACCCCATCGATGTGCCTCCTCTCTCTGTGCCCCCCCCGCCCCCCCCCCGCCTTCCCCTCTCCCTAAAGATCAATGGGGGGAACACCCTGGGGTGAGGATGAACAACCACAGTCAGAGCAGGGCTGGGAGCCCGAAGCTGGGGTCCGACCCCAAACCCTTGGCTCTAACGTCGGCCGCTTCCCACGGCAGGTGCGCGGCTTCGACTAAGGTCCCCAGGAAAGCACGGCGTGGGCAAACACGAGAGCCAGCCCGGGGCTAGGGTGGGTGTCGGTGGGTCCGCAGAGGAAGCAGTGACCTTGCCCACAGAGGTCAGGGGAGGTCAGCCGGCCCCTCTCTGCCCGGGGGAGCTCGGGCCTCAGCAGAGACTCCTGGACATTGGGGTCCCCTCCCACCCCCACCCCCGGGTCACAGACAGAGGCGGACAGTGGGTTTTAGGAGCGGCATCAAGACTTAAAAGTTAGGCCCGGCCGGCAGGGCTCAGGGGTTGAGCATCCACCTATGAACCAGGAGGTCAGGACACAGGCCTGGGTTTCGGGCTCCATCCCCAGTGGGGGGCGTGCAGGCGGCAGCCTATCCATGATCCTCTCTCATCATTGGTGTTTCTCTCTCTCTCCCTCTCCCTTCCTCTCTGAAACCAATAAAAATATATTTAAAAAGAAAGGGCTCCCCCGGACCACCCTTGAAACACACCCACCTCCGTCCATCCCACCCGCAAGGACCTGAGGGCGGTGGCCTTGGATCCGGGACCAGGACCGAAGGCTCTCAGCTGGTCCCTGACCACAGGTGGTCCCTCGAACATCTGTTCTGAGGAGCACCTTGGGGCACATTAGGGAAGATTTTCCCTGAAAATAAAAAATAAAATAAAAAAACCACACAGAACGCCACCTTGGAACCTACCCTGACAACATCTCCCGTGTCTGAGGCGGAACTACAAAGTGATGGGCCCTGACAGGCGGTAAATCAGCGTCCTCCTTGAAAGGGGGCAAAGTGATTATGAGGTGCAGGTGCCGCCTTTGATCCCCAGTGACAAGCTCCTGGGGCTGGTGCCACTGTCCCCCGCCCCCTCCCCCCAGCAGGGCCACACCTGGGGCCCCTGGGGCCTGAACACATGGTTCATTAACAACCTGCTTTTCTTTCTGCAGCTCAGGGAAGGCACCCGCTACTGAAGTTGTAACATTGTGTCCACATCACCCAGTGGCCCTGAGGTTGTAACATTGTGTCCACATCACCCAGTGGCCCTGAGGTTGTAACATTGTGTCCACATCACCCGGGTGGCCCTGAGGTTGTAACATTGTGTCCACATCACCCGGGTGGCCCTGAGGTTGTAACATTGTGTCCACATCACCCGGGTGGCCCTGAGGTTGTAACATTGTGTCCACATCACCCGGGTGGCCCTGAGGTTGTAACATTGTGTCCACATCACCCGGGTGGCCCTGAGGTTGTAACATTGTGTCCACATCACCCGGGTGGCCCTGAGGTTGTAACATTGTATCCACATCACCCGGGTGGCCCTGAGGTTGTAACATTGTATCCACATCACCCGGGTGGCCCTGAGGTTGTAACATTGTGTCCACATCACCCAGTGGCCCTGAGGTTGTAACATTGTGTCCACATCACCCAGTGGCCCTGAGGTTGTAACATTGTGTCCACATCACCCGGGTGGCCCTGAGGTTGTAACATTGTATCCACATCACCCGAGTGGCCCTGAGGTTGTAACATTGTGTCCACATCACCTGAGTGGCCCTGAGGTTGTAACATTGTATCCACATCACCCGGGTGGCCCTGAGGTTGTAACATTGTGTCCACATCACCCAGGTGGCCCTGAGGTTGTAACATTGTATCCACATCACCCGAGTGGCCCTGAGGTTGTAACATTGTGTCCACATCACCTGAGTGGCCCTGAGGTTGTAACATTGTATCCACATCACCCGGGTGGCGCTGAGGTTGTAACATTGTGTCCACATCACCCAGTGGCCCTGAGGTTGTAACATTGTGTCCACATCACCCGGGTGGCCCTGAGGTTGTAACATTGTGTCCACATCACCCGGGTGGCCCTGAGGTTGTAACATTGTGTCCACATCACCCGGTGGCCCTGAGGTTGTAACATTGTGTCCACATCACCCGGGTGGCCCTGAGGTTGTAACATTGTGTCCACATCACCCGGGTGGCCCTGAGGTTGTAACATTGTGTCCACATCACCCGGGTGGCCCTGAGGTTGTAACATTGTGTCCACATCACCCGAGTGGCCTGAGGTTGTAACATTGTATCCACATCACCCGAGTGGCCCTGAGGTTGTAACATTGTGTCCACATCACCCGAGTGGCCCTGAGGTTGTAACATTGTATCCACATCACCCGGGTGGCCCTGAGGTTGTAACATTGTGTCCACATCACCCAGTGGCCCTGAGGTTGTAACATTGTGTCCACATCACCCGGGTGGCCCTGAGGTTGTAACATTGTATCCACATCACCCGGGTGGCCCGGAGGTTGTAACATTGTGTCCACATCACCCGGGTGGCCCTGAGGTTGTAACATTGTGTCCACATCACCGGGTGGCCCTGAGGTTGTAACATTGTATCCACATCACCCGGGTGGCCCTGAGGTTGTAACATTGTATCCACATCACCCAGTGGCCCTGAGGTTGTAACATTGTGTCCACATCACCCAGTGGCCCTGAGGTTGTAACATTGTGTCCACATCACCCAGTGGCCCTGAGGTTGTAACATTGTATCCACATCACCCAGTGGCCCTGAGGTTGTAACATTGTGTCCACATCACCCGGGTGGCCCTGAGGTTGTAACAATGTGTCCACATCACCCGGGTGGCCCTGAGGTTGTAACATTGTATCCACATCACCCGGGTGGCCCTGAGGTTGTAACATTGTGTCCACATCACCCGGGTGGCCCTGAGGTTGTAACATTGTATCCACATCACCCGGGTGGCCCTGAGGTTGTAACATTGTGTCCACATCACCCAGTGGCCCTGAGGTTGTAACATTGTGTCCACATCACCCGGGT